TAAAGATTAAATGTATGGGTCACCATTGCAAAAAAGTTGGGAAACGCTGCTCTATGATACTCATGCATAAGTCCAATATTAAGTGTGGTATTTTTTTTATTTTTAGAGCTAAAAAAAATTGCAGTTTCTATGTTTTTAATGCATGTTGTGCCAAATATGGCACATACTAAGTTTTTGTTTTATTTCAAAAAGTATTATACTTAGAAACTAGTACTTAGTTTTAAAATAAAGCTGACAAACACAATGGTTTTTTTTTTTTTTATTCGGCAGTATAAATTTTTTGTTATGTTAACATAAAATAAGTGATAACGACTTTTTGTGACAAACATATTTGGAGCTGATTAAATTTCATCTATGTTTCACAATTTTACCGCTAGATAGATGTACCTCACATCAAAATTGTTCGTTTCTATGTGCCGAATCTGGCCGTATATGCAGTAACGTCATATCTATATTTTCACAGCAACAAATTACGAAAAACTGATTTGTGCCACATATRGCACATATGGCACACTATGCATTAAGGGGTTAAAAAATTCTCTTAACTTGCACTATAAACCTCATAAGATGCACTTAATATAATAATGCATAACATTTTTAATACTTAATATAGTAAAAATAAATACCTAACTTTATAAGTAATTTAACAGAGTATTAAGATTAAGATTCTAAACAATAATTTTTTTATTAGAATAATTTATAAAAAATTCTATAATAGGTTTACCGAAAAAATATAATATTAATTTGGTTAGGTAACTTATAACACAGTTTTAATACATTGATTTTTATTTTGTTCATAATAATATATTAATATGATCTATCAATTATCATGAAGAACCTAAATATTAAAAAAAAAAACTTATAGAATAAATTATAAACAGAGCTCGAATGACATAATATAATCAATTTTATCTTTAGGGAGGTGAAGGGCTGTAGTAAATAAGGCCTTTTTGTGGACTTCTGCGCATTATAAAAAATGCTAATTTTTAACTTAATGAAAATAAATAGTACATTTCTGGTTTATGACGTATAATCCGAATTCCAATATTTCTAATATATCAACCAAAATGCATTGGCAACAAAAATGTTTTTATTATTTATTAAAGCTAAAGCCTCGAACAGGATCATTGGCTTATATAACATAATTAGGTACTTAAATTACTTGCATTATGTTATACAATCTAATATCTTTAATAAATAAAAATAAAATGCAATGAAACTTTATTGGTGTCCAGTGTGGCAGTGTGTCATAGAGGTGCTCGGGTATGTCGAAGTTTTGTCAGGCCTCTTGTGTGTATGTACATTCTTTGATGAAATTGGATAGCAGCAAATTTGGCAGTTCTTGGTGACTACGCATATTTTTAATAAGATGGGCATATGTATGCTATGTATATGGGATATTCTACAGAGGTAATTTAAACAACTTCGTCTCTTCGTATGAGTGACATTAGATTTTTCTATTGTTCTTTTTATTTCATTTAATTGAGTATTCATTTTTAATCATTCATTTTGTTGTTTATTTTTAAATATACTGTAGGTAATTAAAAAAATCCTTTTCTGAGTTTTTATCCCAGAAATAGAATATAATTTTTAAATATCAATAGGTACACCAAATAAAACGAAATCCCAAATGTGAAATTTTTATAAGTAACTTAAAATTAGTCTAAATATGATTGAGTATACGAAATAATACTTTAAGTAACAATGAAATTTAACGAAGCTTATAAAAATTTTAGCGTTTTATCATTGATTTTATAATATATTAAAATTATATGGTATTTATAAAAAATATGATTTAATAAAGATATATGATAAATTGAATAAAATTTTGATTTGTATTTATAAAAAAAAAACTAAAAAATTCTAAAATTGTATTATCTATAAATAGCCTCAAAAGAGATGACATATTTTTATAATGATAGGTAATAAACTAATAAATATTAATTACACTGTATTTAATTTAAAATTAAATCAATATGTCCAATTTAAATGGGTTCTGTTAGATCATATTATTTTGACACTTTAAATGCGGTTTTAAATCATTATATATTATAAATAATTTAAATTTTATCCTTTGTACGAATATCTAGTGTTGTATAAAATTTTACTTAACTTGGAAATACTTATCATTTATTTTGTGAATCTATTGATATTCAGCAATGCAAAAATGTGTGTAGTCGTGTAGATTTTTAGATAATTGTAGTATAATATTATATAGGTAGAAGTATGAAATAATAATTGGTTATAAAACCGATTTTTGGAAGTTCATAATATTATTATTATATTGCTGTATTCTGTGATAATATATTGTATGTGTTTAAAATTTGAATTTTAACAATTTCGTCAACATCGTGAGCATTTGTAAATTTGATTTACAAAATGCATAACAATTTTTCTTCTCATACCTAGTTAACATTTGAATATTTAACATAAAATTCCTCATAATTTTTCTACCTTTAACAAGTAAAAAAAGTAAAAACAAATATTTTGCCGGTGAACTGTCTTGATACGCTATACTATGAGTCATAATGGCATCATAATAGTTTAGTTTGTCACGCTACATCTAAAATATACCGACATTACGATATAATCGTTATAAAATTCATTTTTTTTTTCCTAATTCGCAATGTTATGAATAAAACAATAATAATATAATAATAATGAAAAGCGGATAAGTATATCAGTATAATATGTCGCTCTGCTGTAAAGTAGTTTACAAGTGGGTTACTTTAATGGATGCGATGGTATTAAATTTGAATTCAATTGTATGAAAAACGATTCTGACGGTTTGTCCGTCTAAGATATTTTAGAGTTTTATCATTTAAAAAAAAATGTAGGTACCTATAAAATAAATTCCAAATAAATCCAATCAGATATATTATGCACACAACTCACTCAGTCATTCATAGTAGGTATATACAATTTAAAGTACTCACGAATAATATTTTTAAATTACACTAGTAATGGCTAAAATTGTTATTTTGCTTATTTGATAGGTAATTTCATCCAAATTTGAAATTAAAATAACCATAAATAAACTGGGTTAATATAGTTCTTAGATTTTTTTTGTTGCCGCAAAATTAACTACTTACATGGAACTTTGTTTTTAATCTTCAATCCTTAGCTATAAAAGTTAAACGTGTTATACATTTTTAATAACCAATAAATTTGTAAATTTTTAATTAATAATTTTTGTCAAAATTTGATTTTTAAATGGTTATGAAAAAAAAAAAAAAATGTGCCTATATTATATTTTTGATATTTTCCAACTGCTATTAAATCCACTTATGGGGAACCTTGTATTACATTTTCAAGATTTTTGATCAATGTATAAAATTATATTACAATTTATAGTATAAAAAACTAAAAAAACGGAAAAATTCAAATGTCTATAACTAACTTGAAAATTGTTGAAATATTTTGAAAATTTTATCAAGTATAGGAATTGATAAAATAAACATTTGGTATAAATTTCAATTTTCTACAGTAATTCATTTTTCAATAACAACAAAATAAGAATATCGGTACAAGAGAAATTTAGTGAATATCCAATGTTGTAATTCAAATGCTCATAAAAATTTAATAATTGACTTCCGGTTGATATAATTTAGTTGATAAAAGTAGACACACTCATGAAAAACTTTAAATTGGATTTTCAAACCTTAGATTTGAAAAGATAATTTTTTATAAATTTCCAACTCAAAATAAATTGAAAATGTTTATGATTTTTACGTATTTTATCAAAATTCGAACTATATTAATGCTTATTAAAAAAATTGTGGATATCTATTTTTAATGTTTTTTAACTGTCGTTGCAATGAATGCAATGTAACAATATATTAGGAGAATTCCATTAAATATTGAAGCTTTTTTACCAAAAGAATAAAATGCTACTATCATTTATAAAAAAAAAAAACTAAGAAGATCGGAGATTTCAAATGTCTATAAATAACTTTAAAAGGTTTGAAATATTTTGAAAATTTTATCAAGTATAGCAAATCCCAGTCTAAACATTCAATGAAAATTTCATGTATCAATGTAATTTGTTTTAAAGTTACACTAAATTTTGATTTTCTCAAAAATTAATTTTGCGAAAAAATTCCCGTTTTTCCTTAATTTTTTTTCAGTTTTTCCCGGTAGTTTTGGAAACTACTAGAAATTTCAAAATTTAACCTCCCCAATTCACTTTCCATCCAAAAAAGCTACTGAAGTTGAAAAAAAAATACAGAACATTTTAAATCGCTCCGCTCAGAATCTAAAAAAAATAATAAAAATAATGATTTTTATTTTGATGATAAATAATAAACATAGTAAATATAAACATAGTATAATATTTAGTTTACGATATGATAATAATAATTGTCTTTGATAAAAAAAAATTGTTTTGTGAATGGATTCATTCTTCAAAAAGTGGTATTGGGTACCAGGGTCCTAGTCGGTAGTGGCGTGCGCCGCCGCGTAACGTTCTAGCGGAGCGCGTACTGCCGCGCGCCGTTGTGGACCACGATTCCCGGTCTTTACCGCCGCCGTTATGAGTGGTATGGGCCCCTGTTAACCTAATATCATTTGTGGGGTAACCGACGATTCAACGGACAGCAAAACAACGACGACCATAACAATACGGACGCCGGTCACAACAACCACGGGCCACGGCACCCCGAAATACAACATTAATGACAATAACGAAAATCGCATTGGCGATTGGCGCGCGCCGCCGCGGAACAGGAAACAGAATTGACGATGTAGCGTCTAACCACTAGCAGTGGCCACCGCAGCCCGACGTGTTGCCGGCCACAGTGCCGGCGGCCGAGTTCAACGCTCCCCCACTCTCTTCAGTCGGCGGTGCCGAGCTACGGTTATCTGTCGAGTGTACGACGAGTTTACGGCGGTGTGCCGTACTGCCGTGTGCGTATCATTCACAGCTGATGTAAATATGACGTATAAAAATGTGTTATCTGTGGTATAGTTGTTGTACCGCATGATAATACGTCGACGAGTGTCGACTGATTGTGATTGTGATAATCACGGACCGCGACGCCGGGGTTTTGAATGTTTAGGTTTTTTGAATATTTTGATGCAGACATTATTATTACTATACCTATCTAGAATTCATCGTAGATTCTTGGCATTAGATTTTAACAAACTTCATTCCTACTTGACAATTCGTCACAGTGTGGTTGCGTTGTAAAACTTAACGTCGGTAGTTCGGTCTCTCGACTAGTATTAAACGATCGCGTCCGCCCAGAGTTCGAATGAGGTAATAATATGATTTATGTGTRCATCGCAGTTTATACAAGACTCATTGAATTGGCGTGTTCAACTTAATATATTGTTGTAGTTACGCCAATCATGAGTATGACGTATGAACAATTTGTCGAGTACGCTACGGATTTAAAAAATCATTCGGATTCAATAGATGACGGTTGGAATATATGTCAATACCAATGTCCAATGGTAAAAAATGCCAAATAAACTAAAATATATTTATTTCTTTGTATCATTAAACTTCACAAATGACAAATGTTCTTAAAGAAACAATTGTTTTTTTTTTTTTTAATAACATGTTATACAACATTTAATATTACATTAATAAAAATCTGATATATTTTTTATAGAATGGAAGTTTCATCAATTATCTAGTTAAAAAGGAGATACAAAAAAGGAATAATTCTACATTGAAATCTGAACACTCAGGTAAGTTTATCGACCATGGGAAAAATTAGAACCAATTCAGCCACGTGATTGAAATTTATTCAAGCCACCCACAATTTATCAATTAAACCATCAAAAAAATGTTCTAACTATACTCAAACTATATTTTTATTTTTATTTTTAGAACCTTTTTTTTTCATGTTTGAACCGACGACGTCGCGAGAACTGCTTTTGCATTCTTACGCGAAATTATTTTTAGAACCTGCAAAATTAAACAAAAACTTATTGATACCTATATTTATTTCATTTATAATATCTTACTTTTTGTAATATCTAAGAATTTCAATCACTATTTTGCTATTTCATTAACTTACAATATATTTATATAGGTACAACTAATACCTGAGAAATAAAATTTCTATTAAAGTTTAATAGTTAAAATCAACGTAATTTTAATAAATATTAATTATATATTGTGTTTTAATAATTTGGGTATAGTTGGTAATAAGTTACAAAGAAGTTTATGATAAATAAATATATACATTATAAACAATAATATAATTATAAGATAAAAAACAAAATATCTATAAAAAAGATTTATTTATTAATGGGTAAATAATAATATTTTAGATTTCTCACCAATTGCATTAATAATATTTCTATCTAATTCTATGAAAATTCTATTTTTAATGGTCATACGCATCAAAGATGCAACTGCTCTGACTCTCTTATCGACTATGACTTGTAAGTTGTAACTGGGTCACAATGATATTATTATAAGAAAATTTGTTTAAATTTCACTAGTTATAATATGATGTATTATAGCTCGTATTTTATATTGTATGATTAAAAAACTAATATTTGCTTTAAATTTCAATGTATAATTTAATTTCGACTGGATACATTTTTTTCCAAACATGTTCTCCATATTTTTATTAAGTAGTGTATTTACATTTATTTGAGAAAAAAACCTAAGTTCCAACCAAATTTATTATTTGTATTTTTATGACATTAGCAATAATACTTTTTGTTTTTAAGTAAAATAAAGATCCTTGCTGTTGTATAATCACAAAGAGTACGTAACAGTGGTATTTGTTGTCTCCGTCTTACCAGTGCATAATATAACAAATTTACGCTCAGCAGAACACTTGTAGCTCCTTTAGTTTAAAAATTACAGTGAATCGCCCTATTATGAAACTTAATTAATTGAATAATTAATTTTTAAGTGGGTTATGAGCATTTAATATACAGTACAGTAAAAATGCTCATAACTCACTTTAAATTAAATTATCGTATAAAACCAACGTACAAACACAGATAATGTTCTTACCATAAAGTTTCATAATAAGTCAATTAACTGTAATTTTTAAACTAAAGGAGCTACAAGTGTTCTGCTGAGCGTAAATTTTCTATATTACGCACTAGCTGGTAAGACGGAGACAACAAATACCACTGTTATGTACTCTTAAATCATATTTATGTGCAGGGAATTTCATACACCTTAGATATTTTAATAAAAGTATTTTATTTTTAGATTCTCCTACAGAAGACAATATTCCTATTGTTTGTGAGTATCACATACTGTACAATCTAAGTTATTCGTGCCCAGATGTGTTCTTTAATATGTGGAATACTGGTAATTTATTAAATATTTACCAAATTAAAATAAGAAAAACTAAAATAGATTTCTTATTTAGATGGGAAATTACTTTCATTAGAACATGTATGGTCTTTAGTTCATTCTTTTTTAAAACAAACTGTAATCCATGACAAATGGAATGTTATAACTCAAGAGGTTAAAACTTTTTTCTAATTAGAAATTCACTTTAAATCAAAACTGGTGCTATAATCAAATTTTTACTGTTTCAGATGCATCCATTTTTCAATACACCATTTTTCAGATTACATCCTTGTAAGAATACTCATGTTTTGGAAATGTTAGATTTTTCTTCAAAAAATAATTTTGAGTAAGTTGAAATTTTTTAATTGAGTAATGATTATCAAAAAATAATACAAATTTTACCATTTAGGTATGCGAGTTACATTTCTTCATAAAATCTATGTATATATTATATATATTATGTGTTATATTATATTCATTAATTTATGACTATAATTAATTAATACCGTGTATAAATATTTATTTGTTTAGGTTCAATCCCCTAATATCATGGTTAAGTACTATAAGTCCTCTCATTGGTTTGGAAATACACCTATCATATGGAAAAAAATACTCAAAAAAATGTTCATAATTTGTATTGATTTTAATTTAATTTTATATTAGTCATTTTAATAATTATTCATGAAATATTAAATTGTATTTTATTAGACTGAATATTAATCATAGATTCAACCAGAGAGCTTGAAGCAAATTTGATTCAATACATGACATAAAATATATACTATTTGAGGGGTCAAAAATCTATAACACAGGTGGCACATTTGAACAACACTCAAAAATATGTTAATTTCACTCTTCAATCTTACATACAATCAAAATTGAAGTATGTGTTGATGAATGTTGAGTACAGTATAATATAAAAATTGAAAAATACATACTACATTTGATTATTTTTTTTTTCCAATTAAATTAAATTTGTATTTTGTATTTAATACATAATACCAGCATTTGCTGGTTTATAATGTATAGTTATAGCATCTAACTAAATTTTTATGAGATGTAGTGTTACTTGAGATATAATTAAGGGGTGATGGCAAAATCCCTGCTGGTCTGTGCAGCTTATATTGTTTTTGCAGCCCCCAAAGTAACTGTCCAAATTAAAATTGGCGTCAACATAAAGTTATAAAAATTTAATATTTTCACAAATTTGGTATTAAAATATGTCAATGAATTTTTAAAACTCTGTCATTCCAGCCATCCCAGTGAATAATATTTTTAGCAACGTTACATTTTTTTTAAAAAAAACTGATTGCAAATGTTTGAGTTAAAAAACCTAAAGGTTTTCAACACTTCTGTACTATAAAAATAACATCTCGGTGTTCATATAAATGATCTAGCCAATTCAATAAAATAAACAATGCTGCGATTAGGAAGTTAAAAACAATACATTTTAATTTTTGAATTTTACATATAACAAATTCTAAAATAATTATACAAAGTCATATAAATAAACTAAATTTTATTACACATAATTTATATATAATATATTATATATATATGTATATTACATCCATAGAGTGTATCCAGAGGATTTGCCAATAGCATATTTAAAAAAATGGTAAATCCTCACAATACACCACTCTAGTAAATATATTCTATCACATGCAAAATAAATTAAAAAATAAAATTCACTAAGCAACATTTAATTACAGTACATGGATACTTTTAAAATAATATATAATCTAAAGAAAATCAATCAATTTAAAATAAATATTACAATACATTAATGGCGATAATATTTTAAATATACTTTTATCATATATATTTGTTGAGTTTAGGTTTTAAAAAAAAATTTAAAAACCATAATTCAACACAATTAAATATCTAACTTCAAAGATTTTCTAAGTATATGATCTACATATTATACATAATATTTTATTTTATTCTACTCTATTATTATTTTAATTAACAGTATTTTTTTCATACATAAATGTAAAATTGACATAATGATAATAAATTATTTAATTTATAATTGGTTATTTCAAATTTCCTATTTTAGTACTATAAATGATAATATATAATATTAACATAGTATTAATTAATTAATTAAATTAATAAATAATTAAAAATCCAAACATAATGATAGGGATTAATCAAATTTGAAATTGCACAATAATTCTAAAGATACTAAATCTTTGTTTAGAAATTAGTTTCCTTGATTATGAACTTTCACATTCAGTAACTATAAATATTTCAATTTGTCAGTATATGTATAGGATTTATGTTTACTGTAGATGACAAAATTTTAAGTGCTTGAATTATTTAATAATTAATTGTAAATATTATTTCATACACATGTTCATTACTTAGATGTTATTTAGTAAATTAAATTTTAAATGATTATAATATAAAAACTGTTGGGTCATTGTTTATATTAAATTAAGTTTAAAAAAAAAAAAAAAATGTAGGAATTATGAGATTGATTAGTGTATTATATTAAATTATTATTTATTTATTTTTTTAATAACTAGTAGAAATTATAAAAAAAATGTTCCTTTAATTAATAACATTGAAACTACATTAATTTAAAAATAAGTATTAATTATGATATTAATAAAAAATAACTTTAATGCAAAATTAAAATTATACTTTGATAAAATTGATTATCAGCTTAGAAATTACCTAATTATATAAAAAAATTGTTTCATATTGTAATAAGTATTAAAGAGCTGAGAACAAGTTTAAGGTGAATTTGAAAAAATGTATAAACCTAGCAAAATCTCAAGTGTAAGAATGCACAATAAGATTAATAATTTTGAATCAAAAAAACTTCCAATATTATTTTCAAAACCAACATTCAGATATCTGGAAAGTATAGTGCCAGAGAGATTACAATCTTCTCCGAGGTTCTCAAATAAATATATTCATTGTGGTATACTTTTATGCAATGATAATAGTGCCCACTGTTACTACATAAAAGTAAAATCATATATGTCATAAATTGTAATTATTTCTTAGTTGTGTCACCCAAGAAACTAATTCTTTGAATGAGGTTTAATTTTTTTTCAATTGTAATGGATTGCTCTAGTGGCAAATATGTGAGGTGTTGTTCAAGAATTTTTCTATCTAAACCAATAACTGGTCTTTGTATTGTATTTTCTGAACCAACTAATATAACATTATTAATGAAAATACTCCATTGTTTCAATATTTTTCGTTCTGTTGTGGGTCGAACTTCTTCTGCTCGTTCAATCATATTTGCTATAACTGATATGCCAAACTAAAAGCAAATATAAATACATATTATTACAATATTTAAATGTACATTTTTAAAACAACTCATCAAATTATTTCTATTTAATAGGACTAGGAAAAATAAATATCTACTTACAACACTTATTAAAACAAATGCAAGATTTTTCATTAAATACTCTGCAATTTGATTCAACTCCACAAGACATAAGCAAAATATCCATTGTCTTATGTACGGCAAGAATAGTAACAATAATTGATCTTCACTATCTTTTGAAATTATTGTACAAATTGAAGGGCCAAAAAATACACTCCATAAAAATGATGGATTTTTGAGATGCGGTAAAATTCTGTGCACCAGTTGCTAGTAATAAATGAAAAGAACAATTAAATTCATAGTATACGATTTCAACTTAATTCTTAAATAAAAGTAATAAAAATAAATTAGTTATTGTGAGTAAGTTAAAATACTATTGCATTATTTACTTTTCCTTTACGTATAGTCACATACGAAACTAAATGATGTAAATGGTTGGACAAAATTTCTGTTAGTTCATCAATATATTGTTGTACAGTGGGCGCTGCTTGTGCTTTGTTTCTTATTGCATAGTATGTTTGTTCTATTTTCAGTAATGGTACATACATCTGAAGAGCAATACATTTTATATTTGATGAACACTACACGAATATTTATAAAATATAATATAACCAACATGTTCAATTTCTAAAAGGATTTGTTTTGAATTTTTTTGGGCAACTACAGCTCGATCTGTAGAGGATGCAGAAGAAGGTGCAAAATCATTTGTTTCTATATCAATCATCTTTCTTGGAGTAATCACACTACCAATCTAAAAATATATATGTAAATTATATGCAATTAATAAAATAAAAATATTATTTAAAATGAATAAACTATTAAAAAATTAATATTATCCAATACATAAGATAAAAAGTATAATAGATATTTTTGAATGAAGTGTTATTTCTTATTTCTATCTTCGGTAGATAAGATATTTTAAAATTGAATCACATAACATTTAGTAAAATATGATACAAAAAGTTACAATTTAATAGTTAAATATTATTTGGCATTAATGTTATACAATTAAGGATTTCATGAAGTTTAAACTTAGTACACAATTTTCTATTATCACTATAGAGAAATAGTAAATAGTTAAATTTGTTTTGAAATTAGGGTAGGTATAGTAGTATGTCCCATAAGTCTCTATCACCCTTAATATCTCCATAGGAAATCAATATATTTTAACGCTGTGTTTTTTACAGTACTTGTATGGAAATTCTGATTGTATGTCATAAAATTCAATTTTTTTTTAAATTTAAAAAATTCAAAAAAAATTTTTTTATGCATTTAAGAATTAAAAATGTGTAAGATAGCCATTTC